AGATCCGCCTGCCTCTGCCTCCTGAGTGCTGGGATTAAAGGCATGCGCCACCAACACATGGCTAGATTTTAGCTTCTTGAGTTTTACAGTGGTAGCAGTTTTCTAAGGTGACTGTTACTCTTTCTGTTTTCTGCTAGTTAGTCCTTTAGTAGTTGCTGTTAATAAGGAAGAGTACACGTGTTGTAATGTAATTTTAGAATGTCACATTTGATAGGATAATTTCTACCTGCATGGCTTGCTTTAGGCATGTTATTTTACTCTGCCTTGGGATGCTAGGAAGCTGTGTGGGAAACATTATGTAGCTCAGTGAATTTCTGTGAGTCACATGAGGGAACTCTAATTAAAAGTTTAGATAAGCACCTGGGGGCAGGGAAAAGCTAAGTAAAAGATTAAGGCTGATGACTTATAAGGAAAAACCAAGTCAGTGTCTGTTAAGGACCACCCGAATGGTGTTAGCAGACCTGGGAAAATGAACTGTGTGGCAACTCAGTTAGATAGTAATTGGCCTGTGGGGCGTCCATAAGGAATCATTCCCGTAATGTGTCCACATGTGCCTTACACGTGTGACCATGGGAGGCTCCAGAGCCCTCCTCTGTCTGAGAATTACTTCTGACCCACTTCACGGTTAACAAATAGTGTTTATATTCTAGATCGAGTTTCTCCTGCTTTAAAATATTTATGATTTTCCCCCTCCCTTCCCCTCCCCTCCCTTCCCCTCCCCTCCCTTCCCCTCCCCTCCCTTCCCCTCCCCTCCCCATCTCATGAACTGGCCACTTGACTTCACTTTGACTCCCTGGAATGGACACACCTGTAGTAAGTGTGAGTGTGGGGTGGAGTAGAATATGGACCTTTGGACGGGAAGAGCCATCTTTTTAAACAACTCATCAAATTTCTTTACAGTTTGTATTCAGTGAAACATGACATTTGATAACTTTTAGCACCTGTGTACTCTAGCCTACATGCCTGTCAGAACAGTGTTCTAATTCTCATGGGTGGATGCTCATGAGTGGAATTGTTGGGTTATGTGGGGAAGGTATGTTGACCCGGGTACTGGCAGTTATCCAAAGTGGTCAAACTTCACATTCCATCATTCAGTGTTTAGACTTCTGGGTGCCCCAAACCCATGTCAGTATTAGAAATTGTCATTCCCTTTAATTTTAGCCATTCTGCATGATGACTATGATAGCTTAAGATGCTTTAATTTGCATTTCTTGGATGTTTAGATCCCCCCCCCGTGAATTTATTGTCCACTGGTTTGTGAACTGTACAATTTAGCAAATTTTTGGTTTGCACTTTGCAGTAATTTAGATTTTGGACGGTTCCTCAAGAACCATGTTCTGAGGGCTTGGTCTGTAGGTCGGCGTTATTGGGAGGTGGTAAGTCTTGAGAGATGGGTTTGGTGAGAAGTCAGGGGGAGTAGGACTGCAGCCCCTCCTGTCTTTCTCCTGTTCTGGCCGTGGGTAGCTGAGTGTCTTTGCTCCGTACATATTCTCTAACACGACTTACTGCCTCAAGGCAGGCCTAACGGAGCAGGACCAAATCCCTCGCAACCGTGAGACATAGTGAACTTGTCTGAAAAGTTGACGTACCTCAGGACTGTTATAGTGTGATGTCTTAGAGTTTCTGTTGGCTGCAGCAAAACACCATGGCCAAAGCAACTTGGGGAGGAAAGAGTTTATTCAGTTCATACCTCCAGGCGATAGTCCATCACTGAGGGAAGTCGGGGCAGGAACTTAAGACAGGAACCAGAGTGAGTGCAGCAGCTGATGCAGAGACCATGGAGGACCGATGCTGACTGGCTTGCTCCCCACGTCTGGCTCTGCCTCCTGTCTTAGGCCATCCAGGACCACCCATGCGAGTGGCATGGGCTCTCTCACAGCAGTCACTAATTAAGAAAATGCACAGCAGGCTTGCCTATAGGGCAAGTCTTAGGAAGGCTTTTCATCAATTGAGAGTCCCTCTTCCCAGAAGACTCTAGCTGGTGTCAAGTGACAGAAAACTCTAATCTTCGCGGAAAAGCTGACCAACACAGATGATCTTTTAAAAGAGTTCTCAAGACTTCTTTCATTGGATCACACATGCATGCGTGCGTGTACACACACACACACACACACACACACACACACACACACACACACATGAGTGCTCACCATAGAGAGAAGAGAAGGGGAGGAGCCTGAGGAAGGGGGCATGGAAGAAGGGGAGGAGCTTGGGAAACTCACCCCAGGTCTCATCTGTCTTTAGGTTCTTAACTGACCTGTCTTCTTTCCATCTTCTCTTCCTTTTGAGAAATCTGCTATCTGGAGTTTTTAGTTGTTTTACTAGGTGGAATATGTATAAACTCCTTATTCAACTAAGAAAAATACCAGATTTCTGGGGTTTGTTACTTATTATCTTGCCTTTGGATATTTACTGCATCCATACCACTTGAATTCTTCCTCTTGTACTCATCTATAAAGTTCAGTTTGCTGTGGCTCTCTTCTGGTCAGACATGCATATCTGACTCCCACAGTCCTTCATATCTGCTCCTGTCTGCAGCCCTCCCCAGCTATGGAGTCTGGATGTCTCATCGTAGCGCGATAACAGAAGCCAACACTGGCACTGCTCGTTGCTGTGGAGGCTGGGAAGTCTAAAATGAAGAGACTGGCCTCGGGTTCAGTGTCTTGGGCCTGCTTGCTGTGTTCTGCAGTGAAAGGTGAACTCTGAGCTCTGCAGTCCTTCTTGAAGATTGAGGCTTCCATTGCCCTCATGACATAAGCATTGCATCTCCTAACACTGCCACTTTGGGGGAGACACATTCAGTCCATAGTATAAATAAATTCTTCTTTGGGATATTTTACAACATAGCTGTTGTGTTATGAGCAAAATCCTTATTTTTGTCAATTGAGTATGGAAATTTATTAAAAATAACAGGAAGCCAGGATTATATGTAAATGTAGGTGTAATTTTAAGATGCTTTGAGAGCAGGATTCGAATGTCAAAATCTGGTGCTGTGTGGGACTGGAGGGCTCGGTGGTTAAGAGCACTCCTTGCTCTTGCGGGCAACCCGGCTTTGGTCTCCAGCAAGCTCGTCAGGTAATTCATAGTTGCCGTGGCTCCAGAGGACTCCTCTGCCTCCGTGGGGCCTGCATGCATTTCATGCGTGTGGATGTACACTTTCCCACACAGACACGCATCAAATACATACATCTTAAAACAGCTGGGCTTTCTCTGCAGGCCCTCCTGCCCTTAGACTGCGCTCAGTAAGTGCATCTGTGCTTGGCTTTCACATTCATTGGCTGGTGTGGAGCTTGCTCTCTGACAGCCCTGGCTTCTTGAATTTGGGGTTAGGGTGTGGCCCACTACCCCCTGCCCTCCTGTTGCTTCAGAAGCCACTGTGTTTGGACAGTGTCCTCTGCCTTCTCTGAAGTCCTGTGTGCCCCTGTCTGTGTCCTTGCTTCTCATACCAAACTTTCTAAGCATGGTCAATCAGTTCAGTGTTGTGGAAAGAATGTGTGTTTCATCTTTATCTAGCTGTGAGATTTGGGGAAGTTACTCTCAGTTTTTCTGTTTGTAAATAGAAAGCCATGAATTTTCCTGTAGCTTTTGCTAAGTGTATTAATTATGTGAATTCCTAAAGCCTGAGGAAAGACCCCTCCACACACACCTTTTCTTTTTTCTTTCTTTCTTTTTTTCTGAATTGGAATTGAAAGCTGAGGGCAAGGTTTGTGGTGTCTTCATTTTAACAGCAGTACACATGTTGGGAACAGATAATAGTCTATTAAGTAGACATTGAGTATTTGAGTACCTTGGGTTGTATTAAGCAAACAAGGCAGATCGATACACAAATATAAAACTCAGATAGGTCCATTCAAGTGACTGGAGTCTGTGGGGAGTGGATGGAGCGGCTGACTAGGGAGAGCCTGGGGAAGGGCTGCTGATGCCTGCCTTTTTTTTTAAATTAAGCTTTATTAAGGCCATTATACATACCATAAAAATTACCAAGAGCCAGGTCTGGTGGCGCACACCTGTAATCACAGCAGTAGGGAGGCAGAGGCAAGCAGATCTCAGTGAGTTCGAGGCCAGTCTGGTCTACAGAGCAAGTTCCAGGACTGTTAACACAGGGAAACCCTGTCTGGAAAAATCAAAAAAAAAATCAAAGTTTTTGTTGGTTTTTAAGGACAAGTGTCACTGTACAGCTTGGCCTGATGTTGAACTTGTTTCTCTGTAGCCCAGGCTGGCCTTAACCTTGGAATCCACTTGGCTCTGACTTCTGAGGGTTAGGGTCACAGGTGTGCACCACAGCGTCCAAGTAGCTTTTGAACTTAGTTCTTTGTGTGTTCTCCGACTAAAAAGGAGAAGCAATCAGTTTGAACACAACATTGTTGCCATTGTAAATAATAGTGATAGACACATATCAATTGTTCTTGTGTAGTTGCATGGCGTTTGTAATTTGTTATTGATGGTTGCTTGGATGGAGCACAGTTTAAAAGTACTAAAGTTTTATGTTGAATATCTATTAAAATGAAGCCCTTTACATTGATGAGTTCTTTTTAAAATTTATTTAATTTTTTTGAAAGACAGGGTCTCTCTACCTAGCCCTGTGACTGTCCTGGAACTCCCTCTGTAGAGACCAGGCTGCCCTCAAACTCATGGATCCACAGCCTCAGCCTGAGTGCTTGAATCAAGAGTGTGCGTCATCACTACACCCAGAGATGAGTTGTTTTCTAAAAGGAACTCATTGTTACTGCTCTGTTTAGACAGGGTCTCCCTGTGCAGCCCAGAATAGCCTGGAGTTTGAGGTGTTGTTAGGTTGGCCTCAGACGTGTAGCTTGGCTTCTGACTGCTTGGATTACAGGCGCTTGAGCTCTGAGAACTGAAGTATGTGACACCTGGAATGTACCTTGTGATACAAGACCGGGGTGCTTTCGTTAGTGAATGCAGGGTTCGTGGCTGAGTGTCCACGGCAGCTCTGATTCTTGGGTAGTGTGTGCTGACTGCGGATGCCTTCTTCCCTGCAGGTGTGATGGGTAGGTAACAGAGAAGACGGCTTCCCTTTCTTGTCAGGCGTCAGCATGACCGAGTGCTTCCTGCCCCCCACCAGCAGCCCCAGTGAACACCGCAGGGCAGAGCATGGCAGCGGGCTGACCCGGACCCCCAGCTCTGAGGAGATCAGCCCTACGAAATTTCCTGGATTGTACCGGACGGGTGAGCCCTCGCCTCCTCATGACATCCTCCACGAGCCTCCTGACATAGTGTCGGATGATGAGAAAGATCATGGAAAGAAAAAGGGGAAATTTAAGAAAAAGGAAAAAAGGAGTAAGTACTGGTTTTCAGTTTATTAAAAAATAATAACAGTTTTTACTAATCTTTGGATATTTCACATCATGTACTCAATGCCACTCATTTCCCAGTCCTTCCATGTTCACCTTCCAGCCTTGTAGTCTCCCCTCCAAAAAAAAAAAATGTAGGGGCTGGAGAGATGGTTCAGAGGTTAAGAGCACAGGCTGCTCTTCCCAAGGTACTGAGTTCAATTCCCAGCAACCACATAGTGGCTCACAACCATCTGTGGTGAGATCTGGTGCCCTCTTCTGGTGTGCAGGCAGAACACTGTATAATAATAAATAAATCTTTAAAGTGAAAAGTAGAAAAGAAAGAAAAAAACAAAACTAAACTAAACTAAAACACCTGTGGGCCCCTCAGGGCCGTGGCCTGCCCCGGCTGCCAACCGTGATCTTCCCCGCATCTCCACCGCGTATCATTTCTTCATGGCACTGGTGTTGGAAGTTGAGAATGTTCATTGCAGTGAGTCCTTAGGCTAGGTCAGAGCCTCTGGCTTCCGCTGCGGTGTCAGTCCTGGACCCGCATAGAGACTCAGCTGTCCTGCCCCGAGTCCCGGGGACCCTGCAGCTGTGGGTCAGCAGGGCTGGCCCCTTCACTCACTTTACATCATAGTGTCTGCTCTTAAGATTGTTTTGCCTTTGGTTCTTCACAGTATGGTTTCTGTGTGTGGTCCTGGCTGTCCTGGACCGCCTCCACCTCAGAGATCCACCTGCCTCTGCCTCCCCAGTGCTGCTCTTCAGAACCTGCACCCACCGTGACTCCAGCTCCGGGGGACCCGATGCCCTCTGCTGGCGTCCACAGGCACATGTGACCCACTGATGTGAACACACACATAAAATAATAGTATGAAAACATGTGCCCGGCACTGTGGCGCACGCCTTTTATCCCAGCACTCAGGCAGAGGCAGGCGGATCTGTGTGAGTGGAGGCCCGTCTGGTCTACAGAGTGAGTTACAGGACAGCCAGGGCTACACGAGGCTGTAAAAGTCAGCCAGGCGCAGTGGTGCGTCTTGTTAAGGGAAGCTTTATCTTTGCTAGCCGCTTTGATTTATTCCCCCCCCCCCCAGTTGCCTGGGCTCTGCCGCATTGTAGTCCCCAAATAAACACACAGGACGCTGTATTAATTATGAAACTGTTGGCCTTGCTTGTTTCTTACTGGCTAGCTGTGACTTAAGTAATTACCCCATAATTGTTAATCTAAGTATGTCTCTTACCAGAGAGGTTTCCGGGCTTCCTACCCCAATGGTGTTACATCTCGACTCTCTTGTGTTTCTCCTCCCAGAGTTCTCCTGGACTCCTAATCCCTCCTATCTTGGTTCCCTATAGGCTCAACAGTACTTTATTGACATAAGACTTCCCCAACAGCGTCTAGTTGGACCATTCTGGAGACTGATGCAGGGGCATTATCTGCGCCCAGTGTAAGCCAGCCTCGGTAACATAGTGAGACTGACTCCATCCTAAAAACAAACCAAAACAAAAGCAACAGGCGTGAAGGCAATCAGTGTCTGTGTGAGCGTGTAGAACTTACTTTTCACGTGTCAGCCAAAGTGAGGGAGAAATCGCACTGAGCCTTCATTAAAGGGTCTGTGGTCCCCGCCCCAGTTTTCCCAGAGAGGGAGTCATGGGGGGAGAGCGAAGGTGGCCGAGGAATACCGCAGCTCAGAAATAATGGTGCTGCTTCAGGCGTCCGTGCTTCATGCATGCCTCCCGTTAGCGGGACGAGCAGGCAGAGCAGCTCAGCAGCAGCAGCACGCGCCGTGTCCTGTAGTGCGTCGTGTGTTCACACTTGGTTTCTCAGAGCTCTGCTTGCACTTACACGGTGAACTATAAAACTACTTTCTCCATTGATGCTGAGAGGCTAGCTGCTGTCTGTTGCCCTCTTGTGGTCATGAGCGGTCACAACACCTTTTTTCTTTTTTGAATGGTTTTCTGGAGGCCCCAGGAAGCTGCATAGCCGCTGCCAGTCGGTACCTTTTTGTTCTTTTTAGGAAGCGTGGGGACAGTTTGACATTAAAAACGTAATTTATACATACCTACTGCATTTCTTTGGCAGCTGAAGGCTATGCTGCCTTCCAGGAAGATAGCTCTGGAGATGAAGCCGAAAGTCCATCCAAGATGAAGAGATCCAAGGGAATCCATGTGTTCAAGAAACCCAGCTTCTCTAAAAAGAAGGAGAAGGATTTTAAAATCAAAGAAAAGCCCAAAGAAGAAAAGCACAAGGAGGACAAGCATAAGGAGAAGAAATCTAAAGACTTGACAGCGGCTGACGTAGTTAAACAGTGGAAGGAGAAGAAGAAAAAGAAGAAGCCCATTCAGGAGCCCGAGGCGCCTCAGGTCGATGTCCCGAGCCTCAGACCCGTTTTTGGCGTCCCGCTGGCCGACGCGGTAGAGAGGACCATGATGTACGATGGCGTCCGGTTGCCCGCTGTCTTCCGCGAGTGCATAGACTACATGGAGAGGCACGGCATGAAGTGTGAGGGCGTCTACAGAGTGTCAGGTATGGGGCGCGTGCCGCTGCTGGGTTAGTAACTCCACATTTTGGCTGGGTCCTGCCCTTACTACTTCCGTGGCCCTTCCAGTTTGGTGACCTCCCACCACGCTTGATTGCCATGCTGCCTCCTTCCTTTAGGATTTGCCCCGAGTCGTCCACGGCTTGCAGTGCTGGACAGAGTGAAGCATATGGGCTGTGTCCTTACCAGGGGGTGGGCCAAGCCTGTCCTACCTCCTTTCTGGGCCCAGCGGCGGGGAGGCTGAGGTCTGTTGAAGGAAGCCTCAGCCAAGAGAGACAGTTAATGACACAGCTTTGTCATGAGTTTCCTGAGCCTGCCTGAAGACGAGAAGTGCTGTTTTCTAAGTAGCTGGGCCCTACATGTGAATGCTGTGTCAGGCAATGAAACTGATGACCCGTTCATCTACAGAGCTTCCGTTGTAGTTCATGCTTGGTCAGAGTGTGTTTCATATTGGATATCTAAAATCAAGTAATGAGTGAATTATTTAGAAGTACAAAGATTTCTTTCTTCAAAAGCAGCATGAGTTTTGTGCTGACATGGGGTTCAGGTTCCAAGCCGGGCAGTGTCTGCCTCAGCCATTCTGATCCCTTAGAGGGTTATTTTTGTGATGTCCTTTGACCACACAACTCTTCATGGGGGGTGGGGGGAATCATACACTCTACAACAATGATTAAGCAAGTTCTCACTGGAATTCCTGGTTTTGAAGTTTCCAGATTTTTTTGTTTTGTTTTGTTTTTATGAGACAGGGTTTCTCTGTATTGTTGTGGAGGCTGTGCTGGAACTCACTCTGTAAACCAGGCTGGCCTCGAACTCACAGAGATCCGCCTGCCTCTGCCTCCCGAGTGCTGGGATTAAAGGCGTGCGCCACCACCACCCGGCGAAGTTTCCAGATTTTAAAAGACAAGCATGTTAGCGCAGTTGTCTCTGGGGAGGAGTAAATGACGGTGTATGGTGGAGAGTGCTTATAGACCCAGGACTCAGGAGCTCGAGGCAGGACGAGTGTGAGCTGGTCAAGGCCAACAGTGAGACATTCTCTCCAAAAACTGTGGCCGGGACATGACATCCAAGAGTGACAGGTACCTGTTGACAAGACTCTGTGACAGTTGTTGTAAATCTTGTTTTATTCAGATTGTCATCAAAATAAGAAAAGTGGAAATTATTTTCTATCTCAGAATAAAGACCATCAAAATGAGACATACTGCTGTCTTCATGTTTAGTGCCATTGACTTAATGCTGTCACTCTAGATAAGGGCCACGTTTGTTATGATGCCATTGAGGGCTTCAGGTGGGAAGTCAAGTCCCCAGTGCAAGTGTCACACCAATCAAAACGTTCAGATTAGATGACAATCTGCATTTGACACCGTCAGCCCTAACTTGTAGATTGTTCTGTCTGCAGTTTTGAATTTTAAAACCACAAAGCTGTTATGGTCACTGTCACTGAATTAGGTCACTTGGGACAATGGGACTGAAGACACTCAGAGTGTTTGAAAAGAGCTCACCTGATGCGCTGTTTTTTCAGTACGACGCCAAGGGCCAGGTGGTCGTACTTTAGAACCCGTGACTCTTACTTTCTTGTTCTAACTGGGTTCACATTAAGACATTAAGAAAAAAATTTTTGTGTGTGTCTATCTCAGTAGCTTTGTAGACCAGGCTGACCTCGAACTCACAGAGATCTCTCCTGCCTCTGCCTCCCGAATGCTGGAATCAAAGGCATGGGCAGCACCACCCAGCTTCAGATTAAGAAAATTCTTGAAGATTTCAAACTTTAAAATAGAAAGGAGGTGGCTATCTCATAGTGGAGAGCAGCCTCCAGTGAATTGGCCAAGCTAGGAAACTGTGTTACATCACGAGTAACTCACTCCCAGAGAAGCAGTTCACCCTCTGCCCTGGGAGAAGCTGCGTGTGAGGGAGCTTCATACTGTCTTTTAGACGGGGAGTTAAGTTGGCGTTCTATGTACAGTGTGTATGCTTGGATTACAGCTTCATTTCCCCTGGAATGTTTATCTAAGTACCATTATTCAAATATTTCCTGGATTAAGCATATTTTTTAATACACTGTAGCTTCTGGGAGTATTAAGTTTTTCTGTTCTGATTTTAAGTTCTTGTGTTTGTGAAGAAGCTCCGTGACCCATATGCATTACTGATTCCCACGGGGGGGGGTCTTGTTATGTAGCCCAGGCTGGCCTTGAACAGGCAGCAGCCCTCGTGCCTCAGCCTCCACACCTGGTTCCTGGCTGTCCCTGCGTCACCCAGCAGGCGTGTGTAGTGGTACAGAACCCATGTCTGATGTCTCCTAAATTTCACGTTTTAAGGAATCAAGTCAAAGGTAGACGAGCTGAAAGCAGCCTATGACCGGGAGGAGTCTCCCAACTTGGAAGAGTATGAACCCAACACTGTAGCCAGTCTGCTGAAGCAGTATCTGCGAGACCTCCCAGAGAACTTGCTAACCAAAGAGCTTATGCCGCGCTTTGAAGAGGCCTGTGGGAGGGCCACGGAGACGGAGAAAGTGCAGGAATTCCAGCGCTTGCTCAAGGAGCTGCCCGAGTGCAACCAGCTTCTGCTTTCCTGGCTCATTGTGCACATGGACCATGTGATTGCCAGGGAGCTGGAGACAAAGATGAACATCCAGAACATCTCCATTGTGCTCAGCCCAACCGTGCAGGTATGAGTCCTGCCCACCCTCTCTACTGACTCTGCAAGGCGGAAGCAGTGACTCCAAGGAGGCGAATGCCGGACACGCTGACATGCATGTTTCTCTCTCTGTGTGTGTGTGTGTGTGTGTGTGTGTGTGTGTGTGTGTGTGTGTGTGTGTGTGTGTGTGTGTGTGTGCGCGCGCACGCGCGCGCGCACGCATTCAGGTTCCTATGTACACTTGCCTGTGTGTGGCTGCACGTGTAGATGTATGCATATTTATGTGGAGGGCGTAGGACAAACTCAAGTGTTGTTCTTAAACACCAACCATTTTTCTCCGTTAGACAAGGTCTCTTCACTGCTCTAAACTGATAAGCTAAGATGGCTGGCCTGTAAACTGCAGGAATCTTTTGTCCCTGCCTCCCAGTCCTGGGATTACAAGTGTGTCCCGCCATGCCCGTGTGAATGACGGAGCTTGAGCCTGGGACTTCATGCCTGCACTATAGGTATTCTAGTGACTAAGCCACCTTCCTGGCCTCCTGCCCCTTCATCGCTGCCCAGGGATGGTTTCAAAGACTGTGTTTGCCCTTACAGTAAATGATATTTTTCTGTGCCAAAAGAAAAAAGACAGTAGCTCTAATCTTGTTTTGTTTGTTTTTCGAGACAGGGTTTTTCTGTGTAACCCTGGCTGTCACGGAACTCACTCTAGCTCTGCTTGCCCTGGAACTCACAGAGATCCACCTGCCTCTGTCTCCTGAGTGCTGGATTAAAGGCGTGCGCCACCATCACCAGGGGAAACAACTGTTTCTTTCTTTCTTTCTTTCTTTCTTTCTTTTTTTTTTTTTGGTTTTTCGAGACAGGGTTTCTCTGTATTGTTTTGGAGGCTGTCCTGGAACTCGCTCTGTAGACCAGTCTGGCCTCGAACTCACAGAGATCCTCCTGCCTCTGCCTCCCGAGTGCTGGGATTAAAGGCGTGCGCCACCAACGCCCAGCTGAAACAACTGTTTCTTAAATCTCTCAAATATTTTGTTAAACTGGGTTTCAGAATTTGCTCAATCTTACATTGTTAGTCATCATTGTCATAACGTGGATGCTTGGACCACAGAAGCTCCAGGGGGATTTTAAGAGAGTTTGAGCCAGGAAGACGTGTCTTTTGGTAGTTGTTCAGTCGTCCTGCAGAGCTGCCTTCCTAGCCTGGCAAGTCATGGAACACTGGTGCGTGTGTTCCCAAGAGGCTGCCAGCACCTCCCCCCTGTGTGCGGAAAGGTCTCAGGATAGAATGGAAATGATCAGTAGATACTTCAGACGGGAAATGCTAAGTGATGGTAATGATTTGTCCTGTACAGGCTTCTTCCCTTATGGTACTTGAGTACATGGTTCAAGCCAGGCTTTCATATTTTCTCCTTGAGTTGATGCTTGGTTAGTAGCCTGTTTTGTCCTTGCTGCACGTGCGGAGTCTCCTCTCTGTGTCCAGCATTAAAGGCTGCACTATGATGGGTGCAGACAGGAAAGACTGCTCCAGCGGTTTTCTGAACTCTGAGTCTGTTTTCTGCAGATCAGCAACCGTGTCCTGTATGTGCTCTTCACACATGTGCAAGAGCTCTTTGGCACTGTGGTTCTAAAGCAAGTGACAAGACCTCTGCGTTGGTCCAACATGGCGACGATGCCCACACTGCCAGAGACCCAGGCAGGCATCAAGGAAGAGATCAGGAGACAGGTGTGTACCTGGCCCTTGTCCCACCCAGCCCTGACCTTGCCCTGTGTAGAGTTGTCTTCCCACCTGGGCCCTGCTGAGCTGTTTGAGCCCCCCAGGTAACACACAGGATGCTATATCCATTGTAAGCTGTTGGCCATTTGCTATGATTTCTTATCGGCTAGCTCTGACTTAATATTTAACCCATAATTGCTAATCTGAGTATTTCCATGTGGTCTTCGCTTACCAGAAAACAGGGTCCAGACCTCTTACTCCTCTGGCATCCTACATTGTGCTGCCTGTGCCTCTCTTTCCCAGAATCCTTCTCGACTCCTAGTCCCACCTGTCTTGCTTCCCCATTGGCCAACAGTGCTTTATTCAACAACCAATAAGATAAGGACTTTCCCCATCATTGCCCTCCCCTTACCCCTCCCTGCCTGCTTCTGTGCTGGCCACAGGGGCTTGAGGTGATGAGCTCTAGTTTACTGAGTTGGTTCCTGTGCTCCTTCCTCCACCTTCTGATGCAGAGGTTGTGGTCCATTGAGTTCCTTGCAGACCTGGGGGTGGAGCCCAGGGCCTTACGCAAGCCCTGCAAGCCTCCCTCTGAGGTGCATTTTCAGCTGGTCCTAGTTTACATCACGTAAGTAAACAGCAATGGCGTAGCATCTTGCACTGTAAGAACTGGTTTTAAGCGCCTGCTCGGCTGATGCCTGTCATGCTAACTTTCAGCCAATTGTTCAGTGTTCTAGAGTCTTGGTATTCTCACCTTAAACAGATGAGCTCTGGAGTTCATGTGGGAGATAATGCATGGGGAGGACTCAGCCCACCACCAGGAGCTCAAAAATGTTTGATTTTCTAGACAAGGTGCAGTTGTTAACCATCAAATTTTACAGCTAGAATAGTGGAAAGGAAGTTTAGTAATTTACTCTGGTATAATTTCTAGACTATGTGACTGTTTTAGCTCAGAACCTGAGCTTTCCCACCTTCTACGTTACTTTGCTATCTAAAAGAAACCCAGTAAACGTGTGTGTGTGGGGGGGGGTGGAGAGCCTGAATAAAAGGCTTGCACACATTGTGTCTCCATGAACACTATCACTGCCTGTTTTCTGTCTGTTGACTTCTCCTTGGCGGTTGCCGTGAGGAGGAGACATAAAGGATGTGAATTAATTGCTGTTGAATTACTAGTCACAAACGATGAGGGTCTCATTCCCAGGTAAAGCAAATGAGGATGGGTGGAGAGAGGACTCGGCGCTGCTGTGTGGAGGCCGAGAGCCATCTTCCTCATAGGAGCTGCGTGTGCTGCTTGGAGATGACAGACACTGAACGGCACTCCACATGTCCTTTTGTTTTCTAGGAGTTTCTTTTGAATTGTTTACATCGAGATCTGCAGGGAGGGATAAAGGACTTATCTAAAGAAGAAAGACTATGGGAAGTGCAAAGGATTCTAACTGCTCTCAAGAGGAAGCTGAGGGAAGCTAAAAGACAAGTGAGTCACTGTCCTCCGTCCTGTGTCCACCAAGGGGCAGGGTGTGGCAGCGTCTTCCACAGAGCAGGCTTCCTCGGCCTGCCAGCCCCAAACTGTGACTGGAGATTTAATTAGTTACGAATGCTCATACTTATCTTGGGCTTGCCAATAGCTCTTATAACTTAATTTAACCTATTTTTCTCTTCACCTGTTTGGCCTTGGGGCTGTTTACCTTTCTTTCATTCTGTATGTCCTAGTTTCCTGCTTCCTATGTGTCTGTCTGTCTGGCAGCTGCCTGGCTGGCCCAGGGCCTCTCCCTTTCTTTCTCCCCCATTCGTCTCTCCACCCTAGACTCCTCTTGCTTACTCTTTCCCTGGCAGCCCCGCCTATCCCTACTGCCTAGCTATTGGCCAGTCAGCTCTTCTTAGACCAACCTGGTGCCTTAGGCAGGCAAGGTGACAGCAACACATCTTTACCTAGTTAAATGAATTCAGCATAAGCCAACACAGCACACCTTTACATAGTAATGTAATATTCCAGAATGCTACAGTAAGTTATTTCTTTTAAAAGTAATAGATAACATCCTTGTTGATGTTAACTCTCTGGTGGGAAATTTATTCACATAAGTGTGTGGTGTTCTGTGTTATTCATATTTTAGCTTGGTATAAATCAGATGTTTCATTAAGTTTAGAAGGTTTTTTTTTGGTTGGTTGGTTGGTTGGTTTTTTAAAATTTCCTGCCTGGTTTGTGTCTGTAAACAGCTTTCTAAGGGTGAAAAGCAGGCTGGGTGTGAGACCTTTGGAGTGAGTTTTGAAAGGAACTCAGGAATGAAGGCCCAGGAGGATTTTGCACATCAGGGCAAGAACTGTGTGCAGCCGCTGCTGCATATGGAGTGCCCAAGTCCGTCTTTGGATTTCATACTAGTTTAATGTGTGAGGCTTGGTTCAGTTTCCTGGCCACACCAAAGCTGAAATCCACATCCCTGAAGATCTTGCAGTCTCCATGCAGATCCAACAACAGGATTTAAGTGGCTCTCTACAGATCCTAGTTCGCACCCCTCAGGCCTGGAGAGTGGTGTGGGGATTGCTGCGTGCAGAGATAGTCACCTAGGTCCTGAGCTTCAGGCCACGGGCTTCGTGGGGGCACGGTTGGGCTGTGCACTCCAGGTTCAGGCCACGGGCTTCATGGGGGCACAGTTGGGCTGTGCACTCCAGGTTCAGGGCAGGAGCCCTTTGGGTACTTCTTTCCTCCCCAGCTCACTAGGTTGCCTCTCGTTTCCTGTCCTCCTTTATTTTTAATAGGATCTCATGTGGCCCATGACACTCTCAAACTTGCTCTGTAGCCAGGATGACCTTGACCCTGCTGCCTCTGCCTCCCGGGTGCTGGGTTACAGCAATGGGTCACCTCCCTGGCTTTGAATTCAGTGTCATGGGGCAGATTGCAGTTTTTGATTGTATGGCATTGTCCAGCACCCTTCATGTGATGACTTAGAACACAACTAGTGGAGGTTTGGCTTTTGTTTCTCATGTCATGCGTCTGTTTTGAATGAAGGAACCATGGTATAAGGGTGTAGAGATAGCTCAATTGGCAAAGTCCTTGGCTTTTGCAAAAGTAAGGACCAGAATTCAGTTCCCAGCACCTACATAAAAGCCAGATGCCATGACTTATGCTTGTAATCCCAGCTCTGGGTAGGTGGAGACAGGAGACTTGAGACCAGCTACTCTAGAGCAGTCTGTGAATTCCAGGTTCAGTCAGAGACATTGGCTCAAAAAATGAGGTAGAGAACTGATTGGGGAATGACACCCAACCAATGACTTGTAGCCTCTGTACACATGCACCAAGTACCCCCACACGTCTTTGTACAGGTGCCACGCACACAGAAATTTGCATTGAAGCCGGAGGCAGTATCAAAAGGGGATGGGTGTCTTCATTCTATCAGCTTGTGTGCCCCGAACCATTCTCTCTTTTTGATTTTTTTTGGGGGGGGGGGTCAAGACAGGGTTTCTCTGTGTAGCTTTGTAGACCAGGCTGGTCTTGAACTCACAGAGATCTGCCTGCCTCTGCTTTCCGAGTGCTGGGATTAAAGGTGTGCGCCACCACTGCCTGGCTCTTTCTTCGTTTGTTTGTTCCTTCCTTCCTTCCTTCCTTCCTTTTACCAAAATCACTTACTTACTGTTGCTGCACACCCAGGTCTCATCATGTCGACTTCACCTTTGAAGGAGAAATGACTTAAAAACAGAAGTAACATCACTCAGTGGATTAATGACTAAAAATAAGAAAAAAATGTGTTATCAGTTTAAACCACGATATCATCTTGGCACTTTCTTATAAAATTAAACATGATTACTCACCATATAACCCAGAAATTTATCCTCTAAGAGAACAATAACCCATGAGCCTTCACAGAACATGTGTAAAGCGCTCCTAATAGCTAAGAGCAGCAGAGGACCCTGAGTGGATCAGGAAGCTGAGGAGCACTCATGCCCTGGCCGCCACTCAGCAACACTGCCCTCAGCACAGGAGACAGGAGCATCCTAAAGCCAAGTGTGAAGCTGGGGGGCTAGATCCCTACTGAGTCAGTTCACAGCATCACACGTGGTCCAGAAGTGGTGAGCACATTCATCAGAAGTGAGCATTTTTCATAGTGCAGCCACAGGCCACGGGAACCCTGCATGCTATTTTCTTACTTTAAATTTTTTAATTTGTTATGTGTGTGTGAGTGTGCACATGGGTATGGACATGCCACAGCACTCGTGTGGACAACCAAGGACAACTTGGAGGGATCAGTGCTCTCCATCACCTGGGTCCCGGGGAGGGAGAGATGGATTCAGGGTGTCAGTCTTGACTGCAAGTGTCTACCACTGAGCAACCTGGCCATCTCTCTCCACATTATAGTCTCTTCTGTTTTGTGTTTCTGGTTTTGTGACAGGGTCTTTCTGTGTCATCCTGGAACTCACTCTGTAGACCAGGCTGCCCTCAAACTCACTGAGATCCTCCGTGGTTAATAACGTGCACCACCATGCCTGGTTCTAACCACATTATTTCTAAGCCCAGATAGCAAATGTCCTTCCATTATGTTAGATGGGGCACCCGACTGCTGCTGGGGTTTTCTTTAATTTTGGTTTGGGAATGTTTCACACACACCGGCTGAACAGTTCATCATTTGTGTCTTTAACAGGAGTGTGAGACCAAGATTGCACAGGAGATAGCCAGCCTTTCAAAAGAGGATGTTTCCAAAGAAGAAATGAATGAAAACGAGGAAGTTATAAACATCCTGCTTGCCCAGGTAAGCCAAACTCTTGTCAATTGAGGTCACCTGTTGGCCGTTTTCAAATAGAAGCTCAACTGTAGACTTTCACCCTGAGTTATAAAGTGAGAAGCTCAACTGTAGACTTTCACCCTGAGTTATAAAGTGAGAAGCTCAACTGTAGACTTTCACCCTGAGTTATAAAGTGAGAAGCTCAACTGTAGACTTTCACCCTGAGTTATAAAGTGAGGAGCTCAACTGTAGACTTTCACCCTGAGTTATAAAGTGAGGAGCTCAACTGTAGACTTTCACCCTGAGTTATAAAGTGTGAAACTCAGCTGTAGACTTTCACCCAGAGTTATAAAGTGAGAAGCTCAACTGTAGACTTTCACCCTGAGTTATAAAGTGAGGAGCTCAACTGTAGACTTTCACCCTGAGTTATAAAGTGAGAAGCTCAACTGTAGACTTTCACCCTGAGTTATAAAGTGAGAAGCTCAACTGTAGACTTTCACCCTGAGTTATAAAGTGAGGAGCTCAACTGTAGACTTTCACCCTGAGTTATAAAGTGAGGAGCTCAACTGTAGACTTTCACCCTGAGTTATAAAGTGTGAAACTCAGCTGTAGACTTTCACCCAGAGTTATAAAGTGAGGAGCTCAACTGTAGACTTTCACCCTGAGTTATAAAGTGAGGAGCTCAACTGTAGACTTTCACCCTGAGTTATAAAGTGTGAAACTCAGCTGTAGACTTTCACCCTGAGTTATAAAGTGAGGAGCTCAACTGTAGACTTTCACCCAGAGTTATAAAGTGAGGAGCTCAACTGTAGACTTTCACCCTGAGTTATAAAGTGTGAAACTCAGCTGTAGACTTTCACCCTGAGTTATAAAGTGAGGAGCTCAACTGTAGACTTTCACCCCGAGTTATAAAGTGAGGAGCTCAACTGTAGACTTTCACCCTGAGTTATAAAGTGAGGAGCTCAACTGTAGACTTTCACCCTGAGTTATAAAGTGAGGAGCTCAACTGTAGACTTTCACCCTGAGTTATAAAGTGTGAAACTCAGCTGTAGACTTTCACCCTGAGTTATAAAGTGAGGAGCTCAACTGTAGACTTTCACCCAGAGTTATAAAGTGAGGAGCTCAACTGTAGACTTTCACCCCGAGTTATAAAGTGTGAAACTCAGCTGTAGACTTTCACCCAGAGTTATAAAGTGAGGAGCTCAACTGTAGACTTTCACCCTGAGTTATAAAGTGAGGAGCTCAACTGTAGACTTTCACCCTGAGTTATAAAGTGTGAAACTCAACTGTAGACTTTCACCCCGAGTTATAAAGTGAGAAGCTCAACTGTAGACTTTCACCCTGAGTTATAAAGTGAGAAGCTCAACTGTAGACTTTCACCCTGAGTTATAAAGTGAGAAGCTCAACTGTAGACTTTCACCCCGAGTTATAAAGTGAGAAGCTCAACTGTAGACTTTCACCCTGAGTTATAAAGTGAGGAGCTCAACTGTAGACTTTCACCCAGAGTTATAAAGTGAGGAGCTCAACTGTAGACTTTCACCCTGAGTTATAAAGTGAGAAGCTCAACTGTAGACTTTCACCCTGAGTTATAAAGTGAGGAGCTCAACTGTAGACTTTCACCCAGAGTTATAAAGTGAGAAGCTCAACTGTAGACTTTCACCCTGAGTTATAAAGTGAGGAGCTCAACTGTAGACTTTCACCCTGAGTTATAAAGTGAGAAGCTCAACTGTAGACTTTCACCCTGAGTTATAAAGTGAGGAGCTCAACTGTAGACTTTCACCCTGAGTTATAAAGTGAGGAGCTCAACTGTAGACTTTCACCCTGAGTTATAAAGTGAGGAGCTCAACTGTAGACTTTCACCCAGAGTTATAAAGTGAGAAGCTCAACTGTAGACTTTCACCCAGAGTTATAAAGTGAGAAGCTCAACTGTATACTTTCACCCAGAGTTATAAAGTGAGAAGCTCAACTGTAGACTTTCACCCAGAGTTATAAAGTGAGAAGCTCAACTGTAGACTTTCACCCAGAGTTATAAAGTGAGAAGCTCAACTGTAGACTTTCACCCTGAGTTATAAAGTGAGAAGCTCAACTGTAGACTTTCACCCTGAGTTATAAAGTGAGAAGCTCAACTGTAGACTTTCACCCAGAGTTATAAAGTGAGAAGCTCAACTGTATACTTTCACCCAGAGTTATAAAGTGAGAAGCTCAACTGTATACTTTCACCCAGAGTTATAAAGTGAGAAGCTCAACTGTAGACTTTCACCCAGAGTTATAAAGTGTGAAACTCAACTGTAGACTTTCACCCAGAGTTATAAAGTGAGGAGCTCAACTGTAGACTTTCACCCTGAGTTATAAAGTGAGGAGCTCAACTGTAGACTTTCACCCTGAGTTATAAAGTGAGAAGCTCAACTGTAGACTTTCACCCAGAGTTATAAAGTGTGAAACTCAACTGTAGACTTTCACCCAGAGTTATAAAGTGAGAAGCTCAACTGTAGACTTTCACCCTGAGTTATAAAGTGAGGAGCTCAACTGTAGACTTTCACCCTGAGTTATAAAGTGAGGAGCTCAACTGTAGACTTTCACCCTGAGTTATAAAGTGAGGAGCTCAACTGTAGACTTTCACCCAGAGTTATAAAGTGAGAAGCTCAACTGTAGACTTTCACCCAGAGTTATAAAGTGAGAAGCTCAACTGTAGACTTTCACCCTGAGTTATAAAGTGAGAAGCTCAACTGTAGACTTTCACCCTGAGTTATAAAGTGAGGAGCTCAACTGTAGACTTTCACCCAGAGTTATAAAGTGAGAAGCTCAACTGTAGACTTTCACCCAGAGTTATAAAGTGAGAAGCTCAACTGTATACTTTCACCCAGAGTTATAAAGTGAGAAGCTCAACTGTAGACTTTCACCCAGAGTTATAAAGTGAGAAGCTCAACTGTAGACTTTCACCCAGAGTTATAAAGTGAGAAGCTCAACTGTAGACTTTCACCCTGAGTTATAAAGTGAGAAGCTCAACTGTAGACTTTCACCCTGAGTTATAAAGTGAGAAGCTCAACTGTAGACTTTCACCCAGAGTTATAAAGTGAGAAGCTCAACTGTATACTTTCACCCAGAGTTATAAAGTGAGAAGCTCAACTGTATACTTTCACCCAGAGTTATAAAGTGAGAAGCTCAACTGTAGACTTTCACCCAGAGTTATAAAGTGTGAAACTCAACTGTAGACTTTCACCCAGAGTTATAAAGTGAGGAGCTCAACTGTAGACTTTCACCCTGAGTTATAAAGTGAGGAGCTCAACTGTAGACTTTCACCCTGAGTTATAAAGTGAGAAGCTCAACTGTAGACTTTCACCCAGAGTTATAAAGTGTGAAACTCAACTGTAGACTTTCACCCAGAGTTATAAAGTGAGAAGCTCAACTGTAGACTTTCACCCTGAGTTATAAAGTGAGGAGCTCAACTGTAGACTTTCACCCTGAGTTATAAAGTGAGGAGCTCAACTGTAGACTTTCACCCTGAGTTATAAAGTGAGGAGCTCAACTGTAGACTTTCACCCAGAGTTATAAAGTGAGAAGCTCAACTGTAGACTTTCACCCTGAGTTATAAAGTGAGGAGCTCAACTGTAGACTTTCACCCTGAGTTATAAAGTGAGGAGCTCAACTGTAGACTTTCACCCAGAGTTATAAAGTGAGGAGCTCAACTGTAGACTTTCACCCTGAGTTATAAAGTGAGAAGCTCAACTGTAGACTTTCACCCTGAGTTATAAAGTGAGAAGCTCAACTGTAGACTTTCACCCTGAGTTATAAAGTGTGAAACTCAACTGTAGACTTTCACCCAGAGTTATAAAGTGAGGAGCTCAACTGTAGACTTTCACCCTGAGTTATAAAGTGAGGAGCTCAACTGTAGACTTTCACCCTGAGTTATAAAGTGAGGAGCTCAACTGTAGACTTTCACCCTGAGTTATAAAGTGAGAAGCTCAACTGTAGACTTTCACCCTGAGTTATAAAGTGACTCCCAAGGGCTTGTTCTGTTTTGTGGCCGTGCCCTGTGCTGTGTTTGTTGAATTGTTGTGTGGAGGAGAAGCCGCCTTCGTCTAGTTTCTTAGGTTCATGTGGTAGGCATTTTTCTTGATTTACAGGAGAGAATAAAGTTCCGGTTTCCTGTCTTGAAGGTTTCCTGTCTGAGGTGTTACCTCCATGCATGGGAGAAATGTCCATGTTTAAAGACAGAAAAGAGAAGTACCTTCCTTGATAGCCTTTCGTTCCTTATTGGAGCATGGCCATGGTGGCCACCCCTCTTGAGAAGCTGTCCCTCCAGCTCCTCACTCCTGCTGACTGCTTTGCAGGGTGGATGCGAGCCGACAGGGCCTCTGTATGATTATGGGTTGAGCGGAGTTCGCTCCTTCTGTATCTGGTGGGCATGGCTGAGTGCAGCGAGGAAGTAAAACCTGTAACCACCCTTCTCTGGTCTGCTTATACTTGACATGGGACCAGCCACACATGTAACCGCCCTTCTTTCTCTCTGGTCTGCTTATACTTGACATGGGACCAGCCACACATAATCTCTTGGGTTCTTCTGTTCCTGGTGACACTGAATCCTGAGAGACAGGAAGCCAAAGCAGACAGTTTTTAGATAGTGTTTACTTTATTTATTTTGGTTTTACGAGACAGGGTTTCTCTGTATTGTTTTGGAGGCTGTCGGTCCAGCCCGGCCTCGAACTCACAGAGATCCGCCTGCCTCTGCCTCCCGAGTGCTGGGATTAAAGGCGTGAGCCACCACCGCCCGGCTAGATTGTGTTTACTTTATTTATGTGCATTGAATGTGTTGCACACACCATGTTCAGGTACCTGTTGAGGCCAGAAGAGGGTGTTGGATCTTCTGAAGTTGGAGCTACATGTAGTTGTGAGTACTCCAGTGGTAGTGCTGGGAGCTGAGCCGGGTTCTCTGAAATAAGAGCAAGTACTCCTAGCCGCTGAGCAATCTGCTCAGCCCCCAGGAAGCTGAGGCAGGTTGACATTTGACCCTTGGTCTTGGGTGGTAGGCTCATAGGGGAGAGTCTATATGTTCTCAAAACAGCTTCGTGTAACTGCGGATTCTGAGGAAACAGTGTGGCTTTGGTTGAGTGGGCGACCCTGGAAAGGTGGCATTTCCTCTACCAGAGCTTGGAAAAGGTGTTCTGCAATCATTTCAGGAGAATGAGATCCTGACTGAGCAGGAGGAGCTCCTGGCCATGGAGCAGTTTCTGCGGCGTCAGATCGCCTCGGAGAAGGAGGAGATTGAACGCCTCCGTGCTGAGATCGCGGAGATACAGAGGTAAGGGGGGTTGGGGGCTGGACGTCCCTTCTGTGTTGTCTAAATGGGGACAGAGTGTTTAAACCCTCCTGCAAACACTTCTGAAATCCATCGCCTCAAGCTTCTCATCGGGTCTGAGAACAGCATTGGGAGGATTTCAGAGAGCTGGCCGCCAAGCCACGATAACATCCCCTATTGTCTCCTCCCAGTCGCCAGCAGCATGGCCGGAGTGAGACCGAGGAGTACTCCTCTGAGAGCGAGAGCGAGAGCGAGGATGAGGAGGAGCTACAGATCATTCTGGAAGACTTGCAGAGGCAGAATGAAGAGCTGGAAGTGAGTTTGGGAGGGCAACAGCCAGACTTGTGGAAAGGAGGTGAAGGGCATTCTTGCCTAGCCTGAAATGTGTGTTCTTGGCTGCTTGAAGTGTGGTAGCCTTGATCTTGGTGTACTGTACAAAGGGGCCTTTCTCTTTCGAGTCTTTAAAAGGTGGGTGTATCTGACCACGATTCCCAGCAGCCCTGCGTGGTCTACTGGAGAAGATGAGATGGAGATGGTAAAGCGAGGCACAGTTGTCTTTAGTCCTTGTCACACCTTGTAGTAGGAGTGACAGAAAGCAGCTTGCTGGGAAGGGAAGAGCTGATCTAAGTGATCTCCTTTCTTATCCCCAATGAAATGTGGTCTTTTGTGGTAAAGGGACAGCTTGTTTCATTCATGGTCACTGAACTGGCAAGCAAAGCATAGCCATACCCGCATGGGACTCAAGACTTGCTCAGAAGCTGGGCCTAGGGGCTCATGCCTATAATCCTAGCAGTAATGAGTGAGGCACGTGGATTTGAGTTGGCAGCCACCCTGTCTACAGACTGAATTTTAGGACAGTTGGGCTCGAAAAACAACAACAGAAGATATGAAAACTATCATTTTAGAGCGGGGAGTTTGCTCAGTGGTTAAGAGTCCTGGCAGCTCTTCCAGAGGACCTAGGTTCAATTCCCAGCATCCACATGGCACCTCACAGCTGTCTGTAACTCCAGTCCCAAGAGATCTGACACTTTCACATACACATACATGCAAGCAAAACACCAGTGCACACAAAATAAAATTTAAAAAAGATATTTAAGAATTGCCCAGGACCTCTGGCCATCCTTAGTGGAGAGTAGGCAGTGTTAGGGGAGAACACACCTGTTACAGCAGGAATCTGTCCTGCAGGAGAGGAACAGGGACCCATGGACATGACCCCGCAGTAGACCTGACTTAGAAGAAGACGGCTCCCTCCTCCAGGACAGGTTGCCCTCTGGCCTCCATGTATACCTACCTGTACCTGTTAAGTATGCCAGCACTCAGGAGGCAGAGGTCGTGGCTCTGAGACTGAGGCCTGCGTGGTCTACAGAGGGAGACCTAGCTTAAAAGAAAAGAGAAGGGAAGGGAGCAGGGGTGAGGTGCAGGTCGCTGGAGACCGTTGTTTAGACTACATCGGCACCTTATATTGATCTCTCCTTACTGAACAGGGAGACGAATGGCACACTTAGCATAGTGTTTTATTGTGCGGATTGTGTGGACCCCTTATCCACACAGCTTTCCTGTCATAGAGTACAAGTAGGGCTTATCCTGGTGCTTACCCATTTGAACAAAGGTCTAGTCACATGGCACACCCAGCTGCTTAGGATGCTGTGAAATACGAAGGACGAGGATAGGCCTCTGATGGATGCGGGAAGTTGCTGCCGAGAACCCAAACTCTGCTGGATGAGCGGTCATCGTTTAGAAGTGATTGTGCTTTCTCACAGACTTTAAGTAGCACATTTCGGATGTAGTCATAGGGATTTTGACATGGATAACAATCTCGGCTTTTATCCCAGCTCCAATTCCCTCTCCTAATTGATGCTAAAATTATCTTTGTACTCTTCTTGAAGGCTGTAAGAAAAGCCCATTTAAGCGCTCAGTACTTACTAAAATAACTGTTTCTGTCGATACCTTGTTTCCTAGATGTGTTTACTCTTTTGTAACTCCAGGCCGAGTTTACATTCTCTCCCATTCAGAGCTGTATTGATACTGTCACTTGCTCGTGTTCTCTGGGGTGGCTCCCTGTCCTTCTGACCCTGCAGAAGAGGTAACTGCCCTTTTTGTCACCCAAGATAAAGAACAACCACCTGAACCAGGCAGTGCACGAGGAGCGGGAGGCCATCATCGAGCTGCGCGTGCAGCTCCGCCTGCTCCAGATGCAGAGAGCCAAATCTGAGCAGCAGCCCCAGGAGGACGAGGAGCCCGAGAGGCGAGGGGGCACAGGCCCGCTGCCCTGTGACGGTGTCCTCGACGTCAAAGCAGCTAAGGAGCAGGTGAAGCCCTCCCCCAGCAAAGACCGGAAGGAGACGCCCATCTGAACTGCCTGCGGTCCGTGCACCTCACTGTAACGTTCAGCCGACTGCTGCTGCCCACGCTGCCGAGGCTCTCCCATCTCCTCTTGCACACGTCCGCCTCCTCGGCAGGCTCAGGTCCTGGGAGGGTGAAGCCGTGCTCACACCGGGGCTTACGGGGAACACACGCGTTTCCAGATAGTGTCAGCTTATTGGAGAATTCATTTTCTTTGTTAAAAGTAACTATTTTAACCCTTGAGTGGCTTCTTTTTAAACCAAAAATCGTCTTTCTTTGCTTTTTTTTTAAATCACAGCAGAATCAGGATGTCTTGTGGAAGGGTAGGAACCAAACCAGGCCACCTCTGCACCTGCCTTGTGGACACTCGTGGTCTCGCCAGCCCAAGGGGCTCTGGCCACTGTGCTCGTGCCTTCCACGCCCTTTGGTGCAGATTGCTCAGTGGGAGCTGCCTCAGGCTCTGACAGGGCTCCTCCACCCGCCCTGACACTTGGCTTCACGGTCAGTGCGAGCCATCAGGATGGCCTAGTTTGGTTGTGGACAGAGGCTACCTGTGCAGCCTGTCACCAGACTCGGCAGTGCGGGCCCAGTCACTCACTGCCACGGGTCAGCAAAGGCCTTTTAACTGAGGTGGTCAGAGGTGGCCACCTTGACCCTGAGGCACTAACACAAAGGATGCTCAAACCAGGAACCTTTTCCACAACTGAACTTCCAGGAAAACTCCATGGTCTCAGTTGTTTGCTTGGGCTAGGGTGTGCACACCTCCGCCAGGATAAGCCATGTAGATGCTCTCCCTGCTCATCTCCAGCAGCTGCCGAAGGGCTCCCTCTGACAAAACTGCGCAGCCGGAAAGTGACAGCTGCAGCCCATCCCGCCTGGTTTTGCTCCTAGATCAGGTGACTGCTCCAAGGTGACAGGGAGGCCTGGCTCTGAGGCAGCTGGCCAGATTGGGTTGTGCTGTCTGATGAGTGGCCCGGGGAAGGCCCCTGTGGCTCTGAAGACAAACCCCACAACCTGAAGTGAGAGGGCTCTAGTCTCTCCCCCTTCTAGTTAGTATTTATTTCAGCACCTGTCTGATGCGATTCTTTTTCTTTTAGCCTCTTCCTATTGCACTGATGTGACTTGTTGGCCATTATTTGATTTTTGTACGGAAAAAAAGCTTTGTTATAGAAATCAGCATACTATTTTTTTAAATCTGGAGAGAAGATATTATGGTGACTGGAAATACGGTCAAGTGTCAAATATAAACGTATAAACGCCTTGCTGTGTCCTGCCAGACATACTACATTCATTTTATATTTGCTGGCAATATTGAAGACTTCTTTTTGTTTGTGTAAACTCTAATTTCTATCAAGGTATCATGGGTTTTTAAAATTAGTATTTCATTACAAATGTCTCAATGTTGGTTAACTAACTTTTGCCAGGATTGTTACTGATCAAGGAAATAAATTCAACAGCCATTTGAGAAAAAAAGCTTTTTCTTGTACATTTTCTTCTTTGAAATAATTGCGTGCCAGCAGCTGGCACAGGCAGAGAGGCGTTTCAGGTGGGCGTGGCAAGACAGTCATTCACCTTGTGTTCCTCACTATGCAGACCATGTAGTTCGCTCCTGGTCTCCGTCCTTGCTCTCACCCATGCCTGCTGCCAACCGACTGTTTGCCCACAGAGCCAGTCTGCAGCTCCTGAACTCTGTTTCCTGGCACTGTGGGAAAGCAAGCTTTGCCTTCCAGGTCAGGTCCAGGCCCATATTGGTCCTGGTTGTTGGCGTTACAGAGGCTCGCATTTTAACTGTGAAATCAGGACGTGGGACAGTCAGCGTGTGCTAGGGATGGGCAGGGGCGGAGCATGTCTTTAATTCTCAGCACTTTGGGAGTTCAAGGCCAGCCTGGTCTACAGAGCAAGTTCCTAGACAGCCAGAGCTGTTACACAGAGAAACTCTGTCTTGAAAAAACAAAAATCTATTATTTAAAGCATGACAAATATCTGGACTCTCTATTTTGTATAGTTAAACTATACTACAGAATTTATGTAGGTGGCTTGGTTTACAGAAGGTTCCAGACACCCCATAAGAGGGGTGAAGATGTAGAGCAACTCCCAAGCAGGGACCTACAACTTCCATAGTGGCAGCTTTTCACTGCAGATGTGACTCTGCGAAATGGTGTTTCCAGTGGGCCAGAGACAGCATGGAGGGTACAGTGCTTGTACAGTGCTTAAGTTCAGTCCTCAAGACCCACGTGAAAAGCTGCGTGTGGGTTGGGGAGGTAGCTTAGTCTGTCAGTAGTGTTTGATGTGCAGCATGGAGACCCTAGTGTCCACATCAGCAGCCAGGAGTGCTGGGGAGAACCTGTAATTCTACCTCTGCACAGGTGTGAACAGGACCACCCCCAAGTTTGGTTGTCTAGGCAAGTCAGTGAGCTCTGGGTTCAGCGGGAGACCTTATCTCAAAACACAAAAGTAGTCTTTTATCCTTGGGAGATGTCATGTATACCTTGATTGTACTCACCCCTCCTCTTTCTGTGTCCTGTTTTGGTTTAAGAAGAACTATCGTAATAGCAGATGTCGTGGCCCTCTGGTTCTTAGAATCTCTTTGCACTTCCCTCCAGGATGCCCCTGAGCCTTAGGAATGGAGGTTGTTGTGTTGATTGGAACCAACACCACAGTCAGTTGGTCTCTGCATTTTGACCAGTTGTGGTTGTCGGTAAGCTACAGCAAAGAGAAGCACCTTTGATGGTCTGTAGGTAGGAGGGATAGTATTTAGAATGACTCTGGTTAGGAGAGTGGCCATCGTAGGTTCCCCCCTGTCCATGTTCTCACCAAGCATAGGTAGTTGGCTAAGTTGGCAGTGCTAGGCATGAACTTTCTGTTAGGTGGGCCTCAAGTCCAGCTAGGCAACTGTTGGTTACCCATAGGATGGAAGTGGCACTATTGTACCTTGTGGAATACTTTATCATGTGGTCACTATTGTGGTTCATTGGTGTGTTAGCTAGATGGGACTGTTGATAGCTTTCCTGTTGGCAGCTTGCTGTCTCCATCCCAAACCATCAAGAGCTAGTTCTCAGTGAGGCGGGAGATGCCAAGGGCAACAGCAAGGCCTGTATTGTTTGGGGATCTCTTGGACTCCTTGACCGACATCTCAAAAGGAGGTTCTTCATGCCTGGCACTGGGGTTTTTGTTAGGCATTCTGTGTATTTTGGGGGAAGTGTTGTCACTTTAAATAGCAAAACTTCCTTTATATAATACATATGAACTTGTGTGTATGTGGTTTTGTGACTAGCTCTATAGCCTTGGCTGTCCTAGACTCAGTGTGCAGACCAGGCTGGCCTCAAACTCAGAGATACACCTGCCTCTGCCTCTTGAGCGCTGGAATATAAGATGTCTGCTACCATGCCTGGCTCCACGTGTAGTTTTGAGTAATCATAAAATAATCTCTACAGCTTTTTTGATATCCTGAAGTGTTATTTATCCCTTCTCCCCCTCCAGGTAGGTCTCTACCCATTCTCCTCTTCTTAACAACTGTGTTTTACTGTCTCTTTCCTGGTATGTGATCTTCCAGGAATATTTGTGTCTAATGGTTCAGAACTAGTATCCACAAATACGAGGAAAAGGTGATGTTACTTTTCTGGGCCTGGGTTACCCCACTCGGCATAATATTTTCTAGTTCCATTCCTTACCTGCAGATTTAATGATTTCATTATTTACAGCTGAATAGTATTCCACTGTGTGTATGTACCGTATTATTTCTAGAGATGAGGTCTGGTGATTCTTATGGGTTCACCTGGAATGCTGGCCAGTGGGCTTCTGGGATTCTGCTTATACTGCTTCCCAGCACTAGGGTTATACGCACACACCACTGTTGCCCAGCATTTTTACATATAAAATGCTGGGGGTTGGAGCTTAAGTTTTTATGCTGTGTGGGAGGCACAGGGCCAACCTGATCTCTGTCCACCCTTTCCAGATGGCAGAGTCTACGGCTCTACAGCTTGGGATGAGAAACGAGTGTTTACCTACTCACTCGGCCCAGGGGTTTCCATCAGAGTCAGACAGTGGGTGTGGAGGGATACAGAGTACTTGGGGCTGTAGCATGTGGGTCCCAGGCAAGGCAGTGCTGAACATTCCAGCTGAGTGGAGGTGTGAGTGTTCTGACACACCACAGACTGAAAATTAACCCTAAAATACTGTTTTCATTACCACTGTCTCCAAAAACCGCAGCTGTTAGCATCGCTTGCAGAACTGGAGCTCTGGGGGCGAAAGTGGGTTACTGTAGCAGAGCATGAGCTTCTGAACTGGAGTAAGTAGATACGGTTGAGGCTACCCTCTCGCCCCAAACACAGCTCTGCTGTTGTCTTCAGGAGTCTGAGACCCAACACCAAGAGCACTGCTGCCCTGGCCAGCCCTCCCCATGTGGTGTGTTCATGTGATTTCTTGTTCATCCTAACTCATCTGACAGCGGGATCTGCCTGCACTTACATTTTTATCGCACGGGCTTGTCTGGCAGTTTACATGGAAGCAACCCAGTCCTCCCTCAGCAGGCAGGCGCCCCAGGACGACGGGGATGCATACTAGGAGCAGCTAGGATTTGATCGCAGCACTCAGTGTCTTCGCACGGCCTCATGCAATTGCACAACCCTGTCCCCATCCTACAGACGAGGAGGCCGAGACTGGAGACCTGTCTGTATTTCAGGAGCTGCACGGTAAGGTTGCTCATCAGGGCAACCTGGTCTGAGGCTGTGTGCCAAGAGGAGGACTGACTGCCGGACACCTGGCACATTCCAAAGAGACTACTGAGCTAGGTAAAGACAAATGTTTTAATCTTCCCCCATCTTATGCTAAGTGATACAGGTCACATATTACATTTATTTGTAGACATTTAGAAAACAAGGTGGGCGGTCTCTTTATAGACCCTATTAACAAATTTTATTTGGAACTTGTACGACACCAGTTCTAACCGCATGATTAAGGCTGCACGCCCAGAGTGGTCGCAGGTCTGTGCAGCGTGCGTGGGGACGAAAAGGCTGCACTCAGAGCTGACCATGATCAAGTTAAAACACCTGACAATATCTGTGCTAAGAAATTTCCTTCAGGTCATGACCAGCATGAAAAAAATCAGGAGAGAGATTCTGTAAATGTGCAGCAATGTGCTGCACTAGGAGTCAAAAATCAGATCTATTTAGTGTTAACATCAAGCCCTTAGGAGAAAAAAAATCTCCTTTGTCATTTACATATGCCAAGAACTATTCACACTTAGGGCTGGGCAGGGCAGCCAAAGGGCGGAGCAGGCTCGCACCTGTGAGGAATGCTTAGGCTAACACTGAAGGTCTTTCCCGTCCATGCACATCCACCTTCTGGCCTCGAGAATCTCTTATCAGCCATCAAATAAAACCAGGAGAAAGCAATGCAGGTCTCTGGGAACCTCATCCTTTCCCAAGGGAAACTGCTCTGCCAATTCAAGTCATTCAGTCAGGAAGATGAAGTAACAAGTTAAGGCTTTGGTGACATTATAATCCTCTGAGAAATTACTTTCCCTTAAGTCAAGATAAGATAATAGTGTTTACTGTACTTTCTCTTGACTCTTAAAACCACTGGTATTGGGAGTAGGCCACTTGCACCTGCGGATGAGACGGCAGGAGGAGGTCCCCACAGCTGTCCCACATGGTGCAGGGCAGTCAGCCTGGCTCTGCTGGAAGCAGGAAGGACACCTGATTCCGGGGTTCAGTATGTGGAGGAGGCTGTACTCATGGCATCTTCAGACACTTTGGTACTGGACGGGTGAGTGCTTGCGAAGTACTTGACGTCACTGTCTCGATCCATCTGCAGGGCCATGATGGTCTGCTCCACGGCCTCTTGATGACAGCTGGCAGAGGCCAAGAAGTACTCTGCAGATGACACGTGCAGTACGCAAGGTTAATCTTGGCATTGCCGAGCAAGCATCATCCAGTCACTACAGAAAGCTCACTGTCCAGTAAACACAGCTCTGCAGTGTATGTACACTCTTACTGGGGAGGAAGCACCAACTTTATGTAGCATTTGGAGAAGGCAGTCACAGTACCCAAACCAACAAAACAAATCCTACAGGGTGCCTGCCAGCCAAGTGGCACAGGGCAGGCACGTGTGGAGGTCAGGGCTGGTGCTCGCTCGCGCCATGCGGGTCTTCAGGCAGCAAACGTCAACTGCAGAGGCAGTCTGGCTGCTTCCCATTGTTGGGATTACTAAAGTGCGTGCGTGCGTGCGTGCGTGCGTGTGTGTGTGTGTGTGTGTGTGCGTGCGTGCGTGTGTGTGTACTTGGGGCTGCATGACTGCATGCCACCCCTTGCATTTTGAAACAGGTTCTCTTACTGAACCTTAAGCTTGTCAACTTAGCTAGACTGGACAGCCAGTGACTCCCAGGATCTGCCTGCCCTTGCCTGGAGAACTGGGGCACCTGCCCACACCCCACTATTCCATACAGGGTCTTGGGATCAAAAGCAG